TTTATCGCTGTCACTTGTGGAGATTGCATGGTGGGTTTATGTGTCTAAGCGGAGGAGGTACATTGATCCAAGTGGGTGGTCTACAAGTGAGAGACAATTTGATTGTTGAGGCATTTCTAGGGCGAATTGTTGAACGAGGAGAACCTTGAGGCAAAGAGATTGTCTTGAATAAAGGTCGCTTGGGATGGACCAGCTAGTAGAATGTAACTTGGGAGCCTAAGAATCAGATAAGGAAGTTCTATTCTGAGTTGTTGATCAGGTAATATTTTCGAGGACGATAATTTCTAAAGTGGGGGAGAGTTGTAACGCCCCGATTTCGATTATTCCCATTTTGGTTGAGTCTTTTTATTTAATTGGGTGATTATTATCTTAATGGTGGGATTTATGTGATAATATGTCATGTGTGCATATTATGTTATTTTATCATTTGGAGAGTTTTGGGAAATTAAGTTTAAGGGTATTTTAGATACTCCTTAATTAATGATAAGATAAGGTATTTTATGAGAAAAATGAATTGGTAGATATTTTAAGAGAAGAGAATATAATAGAGAGAAATAGAAAGGAAAGAAAGAAAAAGGATAGTAAGAATAGAAAGAAGAAAAGGGAGAAAGAAAGAGGAAGAAGAGAAAAGAGGAGAAAAAGAGGAAAAGCTCAGATAGCTCAAGATCAACATCTATGGTTCGATCTAATCAGGTAAGGGTGTGAAATATTGTTATCTTATCAATGTATGTGATTGTGTATGTGTTGGTTTGGATTGTTGGGTAGTTTTTCCCCATTTTCCATTTCTAGGTCGAATATGATTTAATCGATAGAAACCGAGTTTAAACGGTTAGAATCGGGAATAAGTTGTGTAGTTTAGTCGAGGAATGTTAGACTAAGACTACTAGAACTGGTTTGGTGAAAATCGGGTGATTTTGAGAGTTTCTGATGATTTTGGACAGTTGGGGTTTTGAACATCGCAGATGCTCGCTAGCACGTTCGCTAGGTGAACAGGTAGCGAGTGTTCGCTAAGCGAGCTGCATCGAGCTTCTAGCGAACGGTCCCAGACTTGGGCATAATGGAATTTGTGTTATTCGCTGGTAGCGAATGAGGCACTAAAGGCTCTCTAGGTCTTCGCTGTAGCGAGCTGGGTAGCGAACGATGTCAGTAGCTTTTGTTTGCCTTCGCGAGCGTGTTCGCTAGGAGAACGAGTAGTAAGTACTCGCTGGGGACTCGCTAAGCGAGCAAGGTAGCGAGCATGACAGTATTTTGTTTTCTTGTGGTTCCATCCTGTATCGATTCTTGGTTCGGTTGTGATCGACCTCTTCTTGTATGAGTAGCTTATATTGCTGTGGTATGGTGTGTTGTGGGTAGTCGTATGGCGTGAATCCTAGATTCTGAATCGATTGTGAAACATGCTCTTTTAACGATATATGCATTGTTTAATTGATTAAAGGTGCGTGATGAGTGCAATTGAGTTCGTTGCAATCGGCACGACTTGGTGAGTGCATATTGATTTTATGTGATAGTGTGTGCAGGATGCATGAAAATATATAGAGAATATGTGTGCATTGCTTAGAATTGTTGTGTGAAATGTGTTCACGTGCATTTCTTATACACTAGGGTAGAATGACAAGATGTCGTTCCTAGTGGAGTTGATATCGGGGTAGAATAACTGAGATGTTGTTCCTGGTGGGGTAGAAGCGATGTACCCATAATCCTGAATAGGGATTTCTGGGAGTTGATGAGTTTATATGAGTTATGTGGTATATAGGTGATTGCTGTATGAGAGTATCATGAGTCATTTTGCATATGAAGTATCATGATATACATTCTTGTGCTGAATTGATTCCTCGGAGAATCTGCTGAACGATGTGATTCCTCGGAGAATCTGCTGAATGATGTGATTCCTCGGAGAATCTGCTGAACAATGTGATTCCTCGGAGAATCTGCTGAATGACTTGATTCCTTGGAGAATCTGCTGAGTGATATGATTCCTAAGAGAATCTGTTGAGTGATTGTGTGCCCGTGTAGGGAGAGAGTGATATGATTCCTAGGAGAATCTGCTGAGTGATTGTGTGCCCGTGTAGGGAGGGAGTGATATGATTCCTAGGACAATCTGCTAAGTGATTGTGTGCCCGTGTAGGGAGGGAGTGATATGAATCCTAGGAGAATCTGCTGAGTGATTGTATGCCCGTGTAGGGAGGGAGTGATATGATTCCTAGGATAATCTGCTGAGTGACTGTGTGCCCGTGTAAGGAGGGAGATATGATTCCTAGGAGAATCTGCTGAGTGATTGTGTGCCCGTGTAGGGAGGGAGTGATATGATTCCTAGGAGAATCTACTGAGTGATTGTGTACCCATGTAGGGAGGGAGTGATATGATTCCTAGGAGAATCTCTTGAGTGGTTGTGTGCCCGTGTAGGGATGGAGTAATTGAATTCCTAGGAGAATCCGCCGAACGATTGAGTCATACTGTATTGTACTTGCATAGAGTAGCGAGTTGGCCTCTATGATTTGCATATATCATATTTATATGATGCATTGGTTAATAAACATAAATGTAAATGTTTATATGAAATGAGTATGATTGTGAATGGGTGAAATAAATACAATTGTAGATGTTTTTGTGAAATGTAGTAAATAAACATATTGTGTATGTTTATGTGGATTGTTGGAAATAGTGGAAATATGCATGATGATATGCTTGGTTTTATATATATGAATACATTGAGATGTATGTGAGTGGATTGTGATGAATGTGGTGAGAATGTGAATGATATGTATATTATTAGGTTAAGATAAACATATAATTGTATGCATTGATTATTATGATAATGTTTCTCACCCTTCTGTTGTTTTATGATGTTCTATGAGGCATTGCAGAGTAGGCTGCTGGAGGTCTTTTGTGAAGCGTGACTTCATCCTTTTTGATCGGTTGACTCTGATATGTAGCACCGGGTAGATAGGATGTATATAATTCTTTTGTGATACATTTGTATGTGTATCTGCTGTTGAATGTTTATGTAAGCATGAATGATGATGTGAATCAAACTGAATGATGTGTATGTATATGTTTACATGATTGAAGTGAATCAATGTTTATATTTTTCCGCTTTTTATTCTAAATATTGAAATATGGGTTTAAGGACTAAATTCCTCTGTTGTGAGTTGCCTATTGTTGCATATCGTTATGAGCAGGTGTTGTATATGTTTTAATTTCATGGATAATGTGATGCGCCTCTTTTATACCATGTTCTATTTATACTCTGATGAATTTTTAATAAGTACCTAAATGATTTATTTGATTATTTGGGGGTATAGAAAGGGGGTGTTACACCCGCCAGCGTCTCTTTCCGATGGCTCAAGATCATTGTGAATGATTGACCTGAGATGCTTCTAGATTTTAGATCTGAGAATTGAATGTGAAATCATGGAAATCACATGAGTTTAAAGTCGTTTTCAAAAAATGGCACCACTCTTCCATTGTGGAATCATAAATGGAGGAAATCACATAAGATATGGTGGAACGAAGCTTCGTTGGAGATTTTACGATGCTACACTGTGGATTGAAGGTTGCGATCACAATGCTCCTTAGATCAGGAATGTTGATCTTGAAACGACATTGTTGATCAACGTCGATCTTAAATCGACTTGCTAATCTCCGATATGGTTGATCTAGGAGGATACCTGTATGGTTAACACTCCAACGCCTAAGTCAGTTTAGAGTTTGACATAACCATAATGGAAGTGGAGATTAGAGATTGTACTTATAAACCATTTACGAAGGTATTTATATCTTGGGCTTATCGGAGCAGGTAGAATAAGTCGGCCTCGTACTATTAGAATTTTGGACGACGTGGAGTAGTGGAGTAGTGGATCCCAAGGCCTTTGGACGACACAAAACACCATCTTTGTAAGTGGGATTCGCATAAAACATTCTTACCGATCCGGAATTATCTCTCTGGAGGGTTTTTCAGAAACGAAATTTTTTAGGTCGAAAAAGTTGAAGGCTTTTATGAAGGAATAATCCTTGAAGAGTTCTTCATACATGTAGTGAGATATGTGCAATTCTCTATTTGCATAATGCCAATTGAAATTGTTATCTTGAGCTTGAACGAACAAATATTCGGAGAGAACTTTCTTGACCAACAACCTGTAAAACAAGGTTCCACATATTTGATTGTCAGATATAAGATTTTTAAGTGGCTAGGGATGGTTGCTAGTTCTCCCTAGGAACTTTAAGTCTCTTTTTGAGTTATTTCTCTCTTTGTGTGGTAGGTCGAGAAATAAGAGTGGACTTGTGATGATTTGACATTCTGTTGTCTAGACAATTCAGAATTTTTAAAATAATGTTATTTTTATTGGTTCATTGTCTAGTGTAAAATAAGTAAACTAAAATAGCATTTTGATGACTTGGAAATGGTACCTCTTAAGATATGTGGCAAAATTATGTACTTTCTTCACTTGACTTGAGAAGTGAGTACCTATTTCTGTCTTAACCAATAATAACAGTTCGATAATCTATGACCTAGTTCATGGGATAAACTGTTTTTAGTGCTACTTATGGAGGCCTTTATTTATGTTGATTGCAGTTCTTGTGGTTTAAGCCTAGCTTGGGCTACCCTTTACGAGTGGAATTTTACTATTTAGTTCTTTTTCCTTTGTGGTTTTTCTCTAACATGCTTTTTAGTTGTTTTTCCTTGTATGCCTTATATTGAGTGGTTTGTTATGAACATATTTTTTTTGTTTGGTGTTTTCAGCTTGATATATTTTATGACAAAGACCGTATACTTTTCTTGAATGGATTCTTGTTGTAGCTGAGTTCTTGATCTATATCCAAGAGGCAAACCATGTTTGAAGTAACAACTATTGATTGTGAGACTGTTTTTAAGATAGTAACATCAAATACATATGGCATAAAGACATGCATGGTTCTAAATAGTGGCTCGCAACAACGATTAACATACCGCATAACTGCTACTACAATTTAAAACTATGGTGGTATGCGTGATAACCGCTTCAATTCGCAGTTTTCCATGAAGAAAGTGGTGGAGTATCAGATTCCTTCCATGTAGGTTCCTTTCCGCATCTATCACCTTTCACAATATCAGCTAAGGATTCAATTTCTGTCAATTCTTCTTGTGTTAGTTTGACAGACAAAGCACCGATGTTTTCATTAAAGTTCTCAATTTTGGTTGTTCCGGGTATCGAGCACACGTCGTTTCCTTGGTGATGAAGCCATGCTAATGCAAGTTGTGATGGAGTGCATCCCTTCTTTGTAGCTAGTTCGTTAACCTTCTCAAATATAGTTTGATTCTGTTGCATATTTTCAGGTTGAAATCTAGGCATATGCTGCAACATATGTACACAAAATTATGATTATGTTTAAGTTTCAATGAAGGACATTCGAAGCAAAAATAAAGCGATTACTATCACAAACCTGGCGGTAGTCTTCCTTTGTAAAGTTCTCAGCAATCTTGGTTCCTGATGAAAAGAATCCTCGCCCTAGAGGACTATATGCAACAATGCCAATACCGAGTTCCCTAATATATCATAACTCATCAAGTTAAAATTCATATCTATGTAGTATCGACACTTCAGATTAAATATGTGTTTAGTGTCTGACACTAACAAGACACCATCGTATCTGTGTCATGTCCGGTGTCTGTGTGTGTTTCGATACACGAAAGAGAAATGCTTGATAACAGAATATAATGTTTGCAAACTAAATATCAGACCTGCAAGTCGGAATTATTTCTTCCTCAACATCTCTTGACCATAGTGACCACTCCAATTGCACAGCTGTTATTGGATGAACAGCATGTGCTCTTCTAATGGTTGCAGGTGAGGCCTCAGAGAGACCAATGTATTTTATTTTCCCCTCTTCAACTAGTTTCTTAAGCTCCCCAATCTTACATAGAAAACCAAAAAAGTTCAAGTCATCAGACATAGTTCAATCTCATATGATAGATTGGCAACATCATATGTTACTGTAAAACGAAAAGACGAAAAGAAAAGAATCGAACCGTGACTTCAATAGGAAGACGAGTATCAATACGATGTTGATAGTAGAGATCAATACAGTCAATATCAAGTCTCTTCAAGCTACCTTCACAAGCTTCTCTCACATAAGCAGGATCACCACAGATCTCAAATTTCCCTTCCCTAGCTCTGGCTCCAAATTTCGTAGCCAATTCAACTTTCTCCCTCACCTCTCCCTTCAAAGCCTTTCCAAGAAGGAGTTCGTTGGTGTGAGGGCCATAGATATCAGAAGTATCAAGAAAAGTGACACCAGATTGAATGGCATGGTGGATGAGAGCAATCATGTCAGATTCAGGCTTAGGAGGACCATAGAAAGCAGACATACTCATGCAACCAAGTCCTTGTAAGGACACTTCCATACCCTGTGATCCCAACTTCATTCTTCCAACTTTCGACATTGCTATGTCTCACAAATCACAATACTCAATAAATCTTCTATCCTATTATGTAAAGGCTTCACAAAGTTAAAGAAAGTTATGAGTATATCTCCACCACATGTTCTATTTATAATTCAGTATCATCATAAAACTTGGCCAACAAGAAATTCAAGTCAATGGATACATTTCTGCCGTAAGAGATTTTTCTTCAAATACTTGTGGCGGCACCTTTTTGTTTGCGTTTTCTCCATTAGGAAAGTTCTGAGAAGGTTGGTTTATCACTTTCATTATTCTTGTCAAACTGTCATTGTTTCTAGTCTTAAAGTGGTTATGCAAAGTCATGAAGGATCTCTCCCTTATACAAAATGAAATGAATAGCTTGTTAATGAGTTTTTGTTTTTAGATTTTGAAAACTATTTTGTAAATCTATTTCAAAAATGAGCTTTGAAGAAAAAAAATTAAAGAAAACATATTTGATAATTTAATTTTTAAAAATTGTTTTAAATTTAAATAATATTATAAATTTGTTATTAATGAAAAGTCTAGTTTTTTTTTCCTTCATCTTAATTTCTTAAACTAAAAATTTAAACAAAAATAAAAAATCTCCAAAATCTATTTTAGTTTAGTTTTTAAAATTTTTGAATAGATAGTAATTTTAAAAAATAATTTTATAAAACTAGATTATCAAACAGGTTTTATGATTTTCAAATTTTAATAACTAAAGAACAGTTTTACAAAACTAAATCAAACATATAGTAGGTTAAATAGTTATTGTTCTTTTAAAATTAGGGAATTGCTAATTCACCATAGGGAATTGCTAATTCAAACATAGTAGGTTAAATAGTTATTGTTCTTTTAAAATTAGGGAATTGTTAAATCACCATATGAGGTGAAATAACATCGTATAAAAATTCAAAAATATCTCGCAGATTCCAGAAAACTTCAAAAGTCATATTTTGATAAATTAAAACATTGCATGATCAAACTCCATTGCCAACCTTTATCAAAATCCTTCAAAAAAAAATCTATCATTCTCAATCAAAATTTTAGCTCAAAAATATCGGTCTTGTGTTTCATCATTTCAAAAGGAGCAAAACAAATTAGAATTAAAGTTAAAGATCATTTATTTCATTTTTCATTGCTCACATTATTCTTATTTTTGTGCTGTCAAAGTTACGTTATGTCCGAAAATGCATATCCGGAACCAAGATGAATTTCTACGGAAATGCATTTCCAGAATGTCTCATATTTCAGTTTTTAAATATTTTGTGATTTTAATTAGATTTAGTTATGGTGCAACTGGATTATTCCCAAAATATGCTGTGTCTACGGATGCCAAAAGTGTTGTGGTAAAAGAGGTAGATATTTGCAAACAATTTACAACCATCCAAGAATTTAAGTTTTGTGATCATATGCTTCAATGGATACGCACAAAGACATCTAAATTGGAGTTCGGTGTTATAATTGGAAGATCTGACTATGGTTCGGATAGAAGAACTGCATTTGTAACAATGAGATGCGAAAGAAGTGAGACATATAAAAATCCTCTCCGAAAATTCAAATGAGATGACACTATGTTGCACCCCAAAATTTGACCAACACTTCAAGAGGTATGAGTACCAATCAAGAGCTATACAAGAATCTGAAGCTAGCCAAGGAGGTTATTCAAGTGTTCAAGGATTGATATCCTTGTCAGAGAAGTTAAGAGATCCTCAGAGAGATTGGTTGAAACCAAGGTTGTGTGCCTCCTGACTTGAGAGTTGCGGGAGCTCCTCAGATGATTCTGAGGCCATGAGGATGGACTTGAAGCTTTGAGAGAGATTATGAGATGTCTTGAAAGTCATCATGAGGCCTATAGAGGTCATTGTACAAGAATAAGAAGACTCAGCCATGAGTGGTGCAATTAGGGTTTGACTGGGTCAACCCTAGGTCAACTGATGATTTGGAGAGGGTTGAGACCTAATTCAAGAGCCATGTGATCATGGATTGATGTATTGAGATGCTATAAGGATGATTCCAAGGTCAACTCATCATGATTGAGGAGTTTGAGAAGTTTCAAGCTAGGGTTTCTAAGGCTTGACAGTGTAAAATCCCCTAGTTTGATCCCTATCTTCAAGGCAGTGTAGCTCAAGATGTGATTGTCATCTCATCTTACCCTCAACATGAATGTTGTAGAGCTTGTTCTTAGATTTAATTTGAGTACTAGAAGTCCTTGATAGGATTTGTAGAGCTCAAGTTATGACTTTGACAAGTTACAGGTCATCTGAGGTATGTGAATCTGGGGCCTTGAAAGTCACCCAACTTACATCCAACCTTTGCCCAAGAAGGATGATTCCTATGAACTTTTGGTCAACATGAATGTTGTTCCTCATCTTCTTAGCTTTCTAGAGAGTACTATAAGTCCTTGATAGGATTTGTAGAACTCAAGTTATGGCTTTGACAAGTCAAGGGCATTTTGGTCATTTGGAGATTATAGGCCATTTCAAGCATAAGGCCATTTCTCCTATTTCCAAGCTTCAAATGGAAAAATATTCAACATAAAACTTGCTTAGAATGATGTTTTAAGGCTATTAAGGAGGTCATAAAATGTTGAAAAGGCTTGTAGCAAAAAGTGATAAAAATGACCTAAAATAGAGGCATAAGTTAAATAAGTTCAAGTTGGAAATTGAAATTTCCAAGTTACACATCCAAACCATGGCACATGATAGGTCATTTTGACTCCAAAGAACATTTTAGAAACAATGGTTCAGCCACAATTTTGATTTGAGGACTAGATCATGGGGTTGCTTTGGAAATTGGTTGCTTGCATCTTAAGGTACAAAGGCAAAACTCAAGGAAAGGCCATGTAAAAGATAGCTATGCATCTCAACACATCCCATATCTCATCTAAGGAGAATTTCAGGTCAGGATAAGTTGCTGCAAGGGCTATGGCATGAGATGAGGCATGAGATGAGTTGAATCCATAAACTCATGACATGAGAATTCCAATTTCTCATTGGATGGTTCCAGATGGTTCTAGATGAGTATAAACCATTCTATATATGATTTAGAACTTGCTCAGATGCAAGGTTGGTGAGAGATTTGAGAGAAGAGAGAGATAGCCATTTCACTTGCTTCCATTGCAAGTTGAAATCAAATTCTACATTCTGATCCATTTCCATTTCTTCTTTCAATCCAAACACATTCCTTTGATCATACTAAAGCTGTGCATACCAAATTGAAGGCAAAACCATGGAGAATTGAAGAGATAGCTTTTGGATTTTGAAGGTTGCAAGTCACCATCGGGTTTGGAGATTCAAGCTTTCTTGGCTCAATCTTTTGCAAACAGAAGCTTTATCATCATTCAAGGATCGATTCTGAAGAGTTTGGGAGCTTGCAGTGAAGGTTTACCCCATCTGTTAATCAAGATTTGACAGGTTAGTAACTTTTCTTCTACACCATGATTTAGGCATGATTAGGGAGAATTGTTAGGTTAGAACGGTTAGAGACCATTAGGTGATGGATTCTGAGAAGTTTGGGATCAATTTGTGAGGTTTCAGTTGGTGACACCATTTTTGTTTGGACCAAGAACAAGAGATATAGTGAGCTATAGCATGAATTAGATATCAAGAATTAACCAGTGTGAAGTGGTGATCATTCTGAGGTAATCAATTTCAAGAATGGTGAACTTTGATTTCTGAGCATATTTGGAGGTTTGATTCGTGTTTTAGGTTTGAGGAGGTTTCAGTTGATTTTGATACCATGGTCAGATTCAGGGTGAAATTCTGGATAGATTAGGGTTTTGAATTTCAGTTTTTCATGGAGAATTGATGAGGTTCGAATTGGAGAAGGCGAGCTTGAAGCTCTGAGCTTCCATGGCTGTTCTTCCCTCCAAGCCCCATTCAAATGAAGAAGACAATGCCATAGCCATTGGATCATGCGTAGACCTTTGACTGAGTGGAGATCGTGTGGCTGAGATTCCATCTCGCGTGTGAAGGGAAATTCTGAAGACACCATGAAACGCGTCGTTTCATTAAAAGGGAGATTGGGCTCAATTGATATCCCCACCCCCATTCATGGCCCACTTGGATTTTGAACTATATTTTGTTACTAACTGCACCGTTTCTTTTTCTTTTTCTTTATAATTTCTTAATTGATTTTCTGATGGAAACTGGGCCTAGCGCGTATTGTTGTTTGCACCCCCATTTAGGGCCCAATCTCATATTTGAACTGTCTGGCATTGCTATTCACACCAAACATTTCATATTTTAATTTCTTTTTCTCCATTTTTCATTAATCTTTGAAAACTCATAATAAATAGAAAAATGATGATTATTGCACGGGTATTTTTTCTCCCATTTCATGTTAATGTATAGAAAATTATGAAATAAAAATATTTGCATTTCATGCATTTTTAATATTTTTTGTGTATTTTTTCTTTTAATAGCATTTTAATTCTTTTATGTTGATGCATAGATTTGTAGAATTTTGTTTAGCTAGTTCCCTTTGAATTTTTAGGCCATTCTTTTTAGGATAGTTAGATTAGGACTTTAGCTCCCCTCTGGATTTATTCCATAATTTTGTGATTAATTTTTGAGTAGTTTTTATTAGATGACTTTAGGCTGTGTAGATTTAGGTCAATCCTTAACATAGGTCCACAATAACACTAGAATTTTGGGTTTCTAGGTCAAGTTAGATATTGGGACATATA